ACATAATCTCTGTTTCTTGGCTTTGGTAATATCTTTTGGTATTTGTCCACCAATGTTCTGCTTCTCCAATCAACAAGTATGTGGCAAAGTTTACACGATGAGTATTAGGAAAGTCCATTACTAAGAATATTTTCTCAAGTTCTTTCACCCATTCCATGGCTACCTCAGGGTTATAATCTCCACGAAAAATAGAAGGTTTATGCTTACGGAATTCAGTGAGTCCTTTATAATCAGAATTAAGTCCTCTTTGAGTATTTGCAATTCTAGGTCCATTTTCACTTTCAGAATTATGGTTTTGATTTCTGGTTGCACGATCCTCCCTCAGTTCCTGGATAATTTGCTAATTAGTTACAGTTTGTTCTCTAAGAGCTTCTGCCACTCGGGTAACTGCATCTGTTACCGGGTTAACTTCTGGTTCAGAAGTTGAAGAAGATACTTGCCTTGTACCTGCCATAGATCTATATATATTGTTTTATGATAGTAAGTTGATCAGGCTCATTAAAATAACTCAAAATATGCATGATCTATGACAAAATACCAGGCAACTATAATAGTTTAGGTCTTTTATTTATCTGAATCGCTGCTCTGATACCATAAAATGTAACAACCTCAGATTTTTCTAGTATAAAGAATATCGTATAATTTTTTTTTTAAACTATAATAATTAAATAAGAGTATAATAAAAATAAATCTAAAAAAATTTAACTAAAAACGCTAACATCCTTCATTTATTACACATGGATGTAAGTTAGTACAAATATATTACATCCTAAATATTTTACAACGGTTCCACACATATATATTACATTCCTACTACATCAAGTTACATTGTTTATTCCTTACATACTTCTCAGACTAATCTAGCCTATAGGTATAGGACTCCACACTGTCTGCATGGAATATGGTTGCCGCTCCTTGGTTTCCAACTGTTATGTAAAATTCCCAACGATCGTCATAAAAATAAACATTCACAGTCCATCCTTCTCCAGAAAAAGACAAGTTAGCCATGATGATTTTCTGGAAAGGTTAGCACAAAATAAAATAATATGAGATAATTCTCAGTAATATTGAGATTTTTGAACTATAACCATTTCCAGCCGTGATAACGGAAAATATTAATCTCTCAAGTAATTCTCATAAATTGGAATAATATCACAAATATTAATATGCAATCTCGTAATATTTATCTGTAGCTAATTTAATTCCCAATTTTGTGGGTTTCCTGCATGTGAAAGGTTATAATATGGCGGAGCTCAAGCCATGATAAGGCTTCCCTTACCCTCAAACCTTTTGATCCCAAACTTTGTGGGTCACTTCACAGCAGTATTATTAAGATAAAATTTACACATTCTTTTAATATTCAATTGGTATCAAAATAAAAATTCAAAATCTGAAAGAATCATATTAACATAACAAGCATAACAAAATTAAAAGAAAGATTAAGGTAAAATTTATAGATAAAAAACATTACTAAAGAAGAGAAGAAATTAAGAGAACATTTTGGCATAACAACACCATATAACTTTCTAAATATATATATAAAAATATGATTGAAGAGAAGAAAGTAGAGATAAGATTTTACTCTCTCAATATTACCTTTTACTTATTTCTACGTCTCTTTTTTTTTCATCTCCGTAACAAAGCAACGAAATTTACTCTGATTGCTTGATCCCTTCACTGTAACAAAGTAACGAAATTTACTCTTGATTGCTTGAAAATGACCACTGAATGGTGCTGTTGCTATCAATTTATATAGATGCAATATGATGACTCACCACTTCTTTCTTTCTTTTTACGTTTCTTTTTTTTTATTTTTTTTATTTTTTACATCATTACTCATACCTCATTGGTATTTCTTCATTTCACTTAGGATGTGGGTTTGGAGGGGTGACCCACGTGGCCCCCTCCTTGCCATGTATATTTTTTTTATTACATTAATTTATTTATAATATTCATTTAATTAAAATAGTTATAATATTTTTATTATTAAAAATTTAGAATATTTTTAAAAAAATATTTAATTAGAATTTTAATGTAATAATAAATTTTAAGAAATTAATTTAATATATATATATATATATATTTTATTAAAATTTATTCTTTTATTTAATTATTTTATTTACCATATGTTATTTAATTTTTATAAGTAAATAGTATTCATCATAAGTCTTATCATATATTACATTCAATGTTGCCCATATAATTTTATGTAGTAACACATGTAACATAAATGAAATTTATTTCTTTACTTATTTATTAATATACTAATTTATTTATTTATAGAAAATATAATAATGATAATAATAATAATAATTTATTTATATCATATATATATATATATATATATATTCTATATTATTACTTTGACTATTATTTTTATTTTTTATTTATTTTTATTTGTTTATTATACTCCCTATTTTAGCATAGATTTCATGTACTCTCTAAATTAAGTTTAATTAGTGAGCTATGGTATATAATTGATAATATTGGGGATTAAAATTTGTGACATAAATTGTAGTTTAGTAAATGCAATATGAATTTGGGAAAATATTCTATAAGGTTTTCATATAATTTGGGTATGATTATTCAAAATGTTATTTGTGAACTGTCAGAGATCTCTACTAATAAAAGATATTGTTTGCAATTACCTGCTCAAAGGAAGTTATTATATGTATCAATTTTTGAAATTTGCATTGAGATAAAATTTCAAATGATGTGAAATAATTATGTACTTTGTACTCTGCCCAAAGAGAGTTTATATTATGTTAATTATTTTGTTCAAATTACTTTATTGCCCGTAATTAACATAATTGCATTTATGTAATAAATATACTTTTGATATGAATGATAACAATATCGTGATAAAATTATTGATTGGATTGAATTATGATAATTATAGAGATGAGATCTAAATTTTTCCTTATGAATTTTTGTCTAAATAGGGCACTGCGTTAAAGTTAGCCTATAATTAATATAGAGAGTATACTTGACATATTTTTTAGTGGGAGAGATATAATTGATTTTTTGTGATCTTGTAGTTATTGTGGAGTTAGTGGGAGATATATATATTTACTCAGTTTTCATGTCATGATATGAGTTCGTTTTGAAATAAACTTTCTATAAGGCCTCCTCATGAAGGGTTTTGAATTTTATATCTTGTTTGGATCAGCTTGGGTATTATTATATTTTTGGTAATGGAAAAATGAATTTAATGTTAAATTCTCAAGTTATTACTTATGGATTTTATTTTATTTTAACGGTGATTTTATGAGGTAGTGACCTTCTTGAGTTAGGATGAAAATAATTCTGTTAGTATATTTACCTTAAGATCAATGAGAGAAAATTCCTTTTTTCTTGTATTGTATATGAATGACTTAGTTGTTGAGAATGTTGATTGACTCTCTAACCAAAGGACTTAGGCGAAGAATATGAGCATCGTGAGTTCCTTTGATTTAGTTGATTAGTGAGAGTTTAAGTCATTTATTATTTTCTTGTCATGTTGAGCCATTTATTTAGGATATAATTGATATTTGGTTAACAAACAAATTTTATTTTGAATAATTGATAAGGATTTGACTTTTATTATTGTATATATTGAGTATATGTATTTGTGTTTATCAATTGTGAGATATTTTGGAACTCAGTGTCATTGAGACTACTATGCATGTGGTTGACACTATAATAGAGTTTGAGGCATGGTATTGAGATTTTGGAACTCAGTGTCGTTAGGACCACCATGTCTATGGTTGACACTATATTGGAGTTTGAGGCATGATTTTGGAACTAAGTGTCGTTGTAACCATCATGTTTGTGGTTGACACTATATGAGAGTTTGAGACATAATGGTGTTATTAAGACCACAGGGCCCGTGGTCAACACCATATTTTATTCTATGATGGATTTTTGATAAACCATGAAATTTCTCTGGCTTTAAAGCATTTGAGAACTGATAGAGAAAATAGTAGTTTGGCTGTTGTTGGATCATATTGGCATGCTATTTTCTTGCTACACTCCACACTAATGACTAGTCGACTGAGTCAAGTAACATTTGTGACCATGAAAGGTCTTATATCGATAAATGATATAATCACCGTCTGATTCATTGTTATTTGACTTTAGTTGGATGGTGTCATATTCAGATATCGCACCTAGGATTATGTGTTTTCTCAAAATGTGGACACATTATAAAAATTCTTCTAGGCCTGAGATTCATTTTCAAATAACTTTTTTTCCTTTTTCTTTTTCATTTTTAATTAAAATTTTACAATTGATTTTGCCCAAGTGAGAAAATATTAGAATTTTTATAATCACTGTGGGCTTCAATTAATTGTAGTTTTTCTTGTTTTGATAAAAATGGGTTAAGTCATGATCCATTTGGGGTGCAGTATAAAGCCCATCTAATTAAGTGATCATTTGATTTGGGGTTAGATATCTGTAAACTGATTAGTGTGAGTAACAGTGTAGGCCTAAACCATAGGCTCATGATGGAAAAGGGCATTCACAGTGTGTTGAAAAATCGTTACTCCATAACTTGCCCTATCAAAAGTTGTGAAAGGGAGTGATGTCCTTCAACCTTTGCAGGAATACCGGAGCAAGCACTCCAACTGAGATATCAAAAATCATGTCGTCAATAAGTAAGCCTAAAACCCTTTTGATGTTCTATTTCATATAATTCTATTTTAATTTTTTACACCTTTTTCATTTTTTTATTCTTATGGTTTATTCTTTTCCTTTTGTTATTTGGTTTTTTTTTTTAAATAAATTTCTGCTTTTGTCTTTTTCGTCTCTAGTTATTGTTGATCTATTTATAAATAATTTGAGAGAATTTCACATAAAATTACGTGACATGTCCATTCTATGATCATTTTCTATCTCAATCCGACATAAACTCTAACATCAAAATTAATTAAATAAATAAATAAGGCCTTTGTGGAGGAAAGAGAATATAAATGGTTAATAAATATGCACCAAAACAAATTATTTCACTTAAGATGATACAGAGTTGTGTACTTTAAAATGATAAATGTTTCTCCTCAATATATTATACATGATGTGCTTTTATACTTTTATCTAATATGTATCTGTAAAATTGGCTATAGCATGCTAAGTTCAATTACAAGGGTCATGATAACAGAAACATATAGTCCCTATCTTCTCTGATTTTCACACAAAATAATCAAATTTGATCTCTACAGGTAGATTCTCATGCTTGTCTCTAATTGCCAATAATTCCCCATTATCACCATGCAAGTAAGCTTTCAAGAATGCAACTATAGCTCCTCCAACAAAACTCCTCATTGGTTTCCTTGATTCTCCATTCTTGCATAGAAAATAGGTAGCTACACCCTTAATTCCCTTGGTATCATCATCTAGCATGTCAAAGTGGCCATAATCCTTAGCCACAAAATACCAAGAAGGTTTCTGACATTCATTAAAGAAGTTCTCATGGTTGACACCCTTAGGGGCACAAGGGGGAAACAAAGGATTACTTTTCAATTCACCTAAACCTGAACCTATAACCATTGTTGCCATATCAAAATCAAATGAATGAGGAACATATGTGAGAACTGGTGGTGGATTTTGCTTTCCTTTGTCCATTCCATCAACTGGATCAACTCCTATTAAGGCTGAAAACTTGAGATTAGTGGTGATGTTTAATTTTCTCATTGCAAGAGCAAATGCTGTTTTGCCTCCACGGCTATGACCTGCAAGTGCTAACTTTCCAAAATTTGGTCTCACATTTGGTGGAAGAAATTTGTACAGTCCTTCAGATAGCCAATTTGTTATTGCAGCTGCAGAATGAATCTCATCACTTGTATCAGGTCCAGCAAATACATACAACTGTAAAGTTAAAACAAGATTTAAAAGGGAGACTATAAGTAATTATAAGCAGTATTCAAAATTTCAAATCAATAGCATGCCATACCAAAGCTCAATGTTTTTCAATGCAGCCTACCCCGGAACTAGATGTTAATTGAAAGGCATTTTAATGGTTTTATATTAGATATCTTTGACACATCCCTACATACAAGAGTTCATTAGACTTGAAGGGTGGATATGCAGTAAGGACCAAACTCTTGACCACTTGGTCACTAGCTATTATACCATATTATTGAATCATCTCACTTAAAAGCTCAAGCTGTTAAGTGAAGTTCACTCTAATAGTTTTATATTATACTTTACTGACAAAACTATTCCTATTTGTAGAGCTTTATGAAACAATAAAGAAACAGGGAAGAATCTAATCTGTATCATGTACATATTTTACATATAATTACAAATTCAGAGATGTCCATTTAAGGTATTCACTTGTTTAGTTTGTATGCTTAAGGTGTTTCTACATTTAAGTAGGTTTTAAACAAAGAATTTACATGAGGACAACATTTTAATGCCTAACTGAATCTATAACACCTGAAGTATACAAAATAAACGAGTTCCCTTGAAGAATATGTCCTCTAGATTAGGAACTCCACATAAACATAATGCTTTACATGGTAAAGATCAGAGTCTTCTTTTTAATCTGTTGTTTCATTTCTGTGTACACATTACATGGAATTCTAAACAAATAGCAAGTTGTCATGTTTCATTTCTTTAAGATATCTCTTCACGTAAGAACTCTTTGGGCTTGAAACATGGATATTGCATAAGCTTTTTTTTTTGTTCTATCGTGCGCGGACTTAATTCCACTAGAAAGGAGGGGCGGTATTGAGGATTAAACTCGTAACCCTGTAATCAACTATCTCACCTAAAAGCTCAAGCTCTTAAGTGATGGACTTCAATGATTTTATATTATATAACATATTATCCCTTACTTATTATGTACACTAAAGGTGTTGTGTATTTAGGCATTAAACAAGAACATACACGGTGAAAATATCTAAAACTATAATAAGGTAACATTGCCTGCCAATTTAATTAGGCCCATTTCAAGTGCTGTATTGGACTAATTGGGCTTAGAAATATAAGTGAAGCAAATGGAGAAAAACAAGGATGTACATGCCATTCAATGACAACAGAGGAACAAGCAAGCTAATGGAAACAGCCATTTGTTACTGCTGTATTAATTAAAAATATAATTAAACGAATGTATAATAGTTAGATAGCCTAGTGGTGTGGGGTGTGTGTGTTAAGAGTGTGTGTAGTGTAGGGTGTTGTGTTCAATTCCTTGTAACCTCCAAAAAAAAAAAAAGATAATTTTTCAAAATAGAAAAAAAAAACCTCAAAAAATTTATTTTGATATTTTCCTGATCATGAGTTAGAAAGAGTAACTTCTAAAAAAAATTATATTATAAAAGGTTTTTTTTTTTTTTCACAATGCTATGTTAGATAATGGCCTAATATATGTGGGACTACTATGAGATTGAATTCTAATAATTATGAATTATTTGATGTGATTTGATATTATGAAATCAATATACTATGAAACTAAGATAAGTTAAGCTTATACCATTAAGATTTATTGGCACAAAAATAATAACAAAAAAGTTATTCCATGTCCCTAATTACTCTTTCGGACGAGTTACGTTTATTGGGTATCCTCACAACCAAAGCGAGGAAAGGGGTGCACACACGTAAGAGACTAATCTTGACTTGAGTGGCGTCACAATTATCCAACTCTAACCCAAAAATTCTCTCCAGGATCCCAGCCTAAGCTCTTTTGCCGTTTGTAAAAATAATCAATTTAATTTATTCATTAATGGTTGGCTAATAAATAGTAAACAAATCTGATTCGTTCATTTGGGACATCATTGACAATGAAACGATGAGAAGCAATGTATTGGATATATATGCACATCAATTTAAAAAACAAAAAAAACGAAAACAAAAGCAAAAACAAAAACAAAAACAAAAAATGTATATACACGGTAAGGTGTCAAATGTGCACTAACCTGAGGAGCAATGACAATGAAACCATGAGAAGCAATGTGTTGGATAAACTGAGAGTAAAATGAATTGTTAAGAAGATAGCCATGCAAGAACAACAGAAGTGAGAATTCTCCAGCTTCAAGAGGAGTGGCAATCAAGAGTGATTTCGGTGGTAAAACTGAACATAGAAAAATTACACACAGTGAACAAAGCCTCATATAGCAAGAAAAAGAAGAAGATAAAACTTAATTATAAGAGAGAGGTAGAGGAATCCAAAAGAGTACCATTGTCTGTGCATGAATCAGAATCGACCCTTTGCAGCTTGGTGGTATACTTGCCAGCTACGAAGCACCGATACTCAGAAGTTTTTTTTTCCAACATATCAGATACGCGTATCGGAAACATATCGGAAATGTATCGTATCGTACCGACATATTGACATCTCGTATTGAAAACATATCGAAAACGCCATGCTAGAATCGATGCTTCATAGCTTGCCAGTTTCAAAAACATTAGTGAGAGCAGTTGATGAATAAGAACTCACAACTGATAGTTGAGCATGTGCCATGTTTTGCCTTAACCTGCAAGTGTTACTTTCTACTGCAGAATACGATAACAAATTTGTGGCTTTTATATAGTTTTGTTGACCTTTCAAGATCTTATCAAAATTAATTTAAAGAAGGGTGGACAATGTATAGATCCACCTGTCTGTTTTAAGAAATTCCACACAATACTGAATTAATTAAATAGGGCAGTTATGATCAAGCTTGTGATTATTTGGTCACGAAGGCTCTGATATTATGTAAAAAACTAGGGATTTTCATCAACTAATCCAAACTGAATCAATCTGCGGTGACCGAATCAAAAACTGATAACCGAAAATCAAAAAATCAAAAACAAAAAAAAATCACAAGTTTTAATTGGATTGGATCGGTTTTCGGTTTGGTTGGTGAAAACTGATCCAATCCAAACCGACCCACTGATTATGTATTGATTATTTTGGAAAGATGGTAACTTGAAATCTTGGATGTTATCAATAGCAAACTATGTTGTTTTAGTTTTTATTGTCTATTAATCTATGTTAACTCTTCATGAGTTTTAAGACTTGTTTTAGTTTGAATTTTTCAGTGGTTTGTAACTTTGAATGGATTTATTTTGATATAGCTAGTGATTTGTATGGCTAAAATTTTAGACTTTTCGAAAAATTGAAAATCGATGCAATCCAAACAGAATAAAATTGGATTGGATTGTATCAGATTTAAAAAAAATCCAAACCAAATGGATGATTAAATGATCAAATTGAAGGGATTGGATTAAATGATTTTTACTTCAAAACCGATCCAATCCAGACCGCAAACACCCTTGAACTAATTCAACCCAAAAACTTAAGCTTAATCTGTTAGGTGAGGGCCTTTTTTAATATTTTATACTATTATCTAACACATTCCTTCACACGATAGCCCATTGGACTGGACGGACACATGTGCTAAGAAACTCCATCAGAGTTAATTAATTATTAACTAAGTAGGAGGCAATGAAGATCGAATTCTTAACTATCTGATCACGGAGGCTCTCTAATATCACGTAAAGAATTAATTTAACCTAAAATCTAAAATCGTTGAATGAGATTATATTAATAATTTTTATATTTCTTTAACAATTAAGTGTAACTTCTAACTACTGTAGAATACGATAACAAATTTATGGCTTTTATATAGTCTTGTTGACCTTTCAAGATCTTACGAAAATTCAGTATAACTTCAAACTACTACAGCATACGATAACAAATTTATGGCTTTTATATAGTCTTGTTGAGATCTTATGAAAATTAAGTCTAACTTCTAACTACTGCAGAATAAGATAACAAATTTGTGGCTTTTATATAGTATTGTTGACCTTTGTTTTTTTGGATATTTTGGTTCAAGATCTTACGAAAATTATATATTTTTGGTGGACTTTTAGTGGACCAAATAGATTTTTGAGCCTTTAATGATTAGGCTAAAGGTGCATATGTGTGTCTCTCTCTTTAAAAATGGGACATTCTCTTTACACACAAATTAAGAAAGTAAGAATAACAATCAGGTAGTATTTGGTTCGGGAGAAAAAAAATTTTACTAGGGAAATATAATTGATGGGAAAATGGTTGGAAAGTGAGTTTAGTAGAAAAATGTAAAAAAAGTTGTTTGGTTGATCGAAATATTATCTGAAATTTATTTAAATATGCAAAATCTATGTTCGGGAGAAACTTTGCACCTGTTTTTCACTTCCCCAGTTATCTCAAAATACCACATCTCAAGTGGTATTCCGTAACAGTGAATTCCATCCAAAAATCAACACAAAAGTCATTTTCTCATCTATCCTATTTGCCTAGTATTTTTTGAAAAAACTTGATCCAAACATGGTATTTTTCAATATCCACTTACATTTTTTCATCAATCCCAAAATAAACCTTCAACCAAACACTACCTCAAGGATTTGGTCCTCCTCGAGACTATAATAAAAGTTGAAAACTACCAAGCTCACCGGAAATTCTTCCAACTTAATTAGTGAATTAGTTTATTACTAGTGAGATATACGAAAAAAAAATCAAGTTGTAACGTAAATTTTAAATTAAATTTTTCATTTGAATTTTATACCGCACAATTATTAAAAAAAAAAAAAAAAAAATAGGTAAGAGATTTGTAACTTAATATTAAATGTAGTCTATAATAGACTTTAATAATATTATATTAATGATGTCAAACTTCTTCCTCAGCAGCTCTGTTCATACTCAACTTTGTCTCCTACTTCAACAATAGAATAAATAAATAAAAAATTGTTGTGGTCAATATACTGTATTAATGATATAAAATATAGAAATAATAGTTTATTGCCTATGTTAATATTGTTAAAATTGAGATTTTACGCAGGATCGATAGAGAGTAAAAGAATCGTAAATCGTGAGATCGACACGGATCGTAAAATCTTGTTACCTAAGATACAAAATTTTATTCAACCATATATATGCATGTAAAATAATTTATATCAATTGTGAAACTGAAATATAATAGAAAAGTCATAAGATTCCAAATTCATAACAATCTTTTACAAAAAGAAAAAGAAAAACAAAATAACAGCCTTTTAAAAAAAGGAAAAAAAACAAAACAACCTTTTACAAAAAGAAAAAAAAATGATAAGAATTATGAGGGCCACGAGTTTTTACTAGTATTTTACTAGAATGATGAGGGCCACAAGTAAACTTTCTTAATAGTGTTTTACAAAAAAGAAAAAGAAAACTCACTAATGTGATTAACTTTACACCTACCAGGGCCACGAGTTCAGTTGACAAAAAGTTTATCTTTTACACTATCCAAGTTTCTCTTTTACAATAACAGTAAAAGGAAAGGGGAAAACACAAATCAGAGTGAGAGACGTCTTTAGGTAGCAGTCGGGAGGAGAACGAAAACTGGCAGTAGCAAGATGAAGCTTAACACTGAACAGGATCGCGCAGCAACAGGGACAAAAACTGAACAAGATGAAGCTTTCATTTTCTTTCTCACTGTCAGAGACGTTTTTCAAATGTTTTTATTTTCATTTTTTTCTAAATGTTTATGGTTTTAGTCATTGGATTTTTTTAATTTGGGTTTTTGAGATTTTTGCAAAAACGCCTTAAACGTAAAGTCGCAGCAACAAACTTTCTTACGCAATTCAGAAAATAATTAACGTCTAATGATCAAAAAAATTATTAAAATGCTACTGATCTTTCTATATTATAAATCAAAATTGGTAAACCTGTTACATTATTTTTTTAAATACAACAGAAAACTAGCACTTTCGAACCACAAATATTGTTACTTTCAATTCCTATTCAGAAAATTCATAAATTAAATTAAAAAGAAAGACACGATATATCATAGTTCACACCCTTTAGTGCAATGGGATGCTACGTCTATATTGAAGTACCTGTTGATATTTTATTGATCTCAAAACAGTGTTATCCAAACACACGTCTAACACACAATAAATCAAAATATCCAAAACTATCCTAGTGCCTAAACTGCTCCAAGATTCAAAACATTTCTCAAGCCGAACATAGGAGTTCACCAACTCCTCTCACACAAGAACTAAAATTTCTCAGTGGATTCTGAAGGCTCCAGGCCTTGAGAAACACTCTCAAGCCAAGCTAAGGGTTGCCAACCCTCTTGGTTGCATCCAACACACCTAGGACATATTTTTCCCACACAAAGGCACACCTGAGCTTTTGCTCCAAATTATTTGTTTGATGTGATGTTATGATTGAATTTTATGTGTCTCTTCTCACAAGGTTACGTTCCTGCTTCAAAGTGTTTATTCTAGTTTATTGCTGAGGACAACAATGTCTAAATCTGGGAATTGTTTGATGAGTCTTCAATTTATATTAAGAGTTAATATGAGCATGAAATTGATTTAAAAGTAATTAAAAGTTATGAGAATTATAATTAAATTTTAATTTTATTTTCAATAATATTCTCATAAGATTTCTTATATTTTGCAATATATTTCAGCTCAATAAAGAGATATATTGGAGATATCAAGTAGAGTTGCTTTGGATTTCTGAATCATTGAAGATCTTATCAAATCTTCCTATGAATATTTGTAAGGAAACTTTTCCATTAAATATACAGGGAAAGATTTGAAAGATTGGATAAAAGATATGATTAGAGATCCTAGTGAAGATTCCATTGAAGATATGATGGAAAATTAAAAGATATGGTTTTCATCTCTATAAAAAGGCATCTCTTGGAAACTCAAAAACACAATTCGACGGAGGCAACAATATTCAAGAGGAGGAGACTCACGCTGGAGATCAGGATTCCGGAGAACTTGAAGATTGAAAACCATTGAACTTTCTTCTTCATCTTTTTCTTTTCTTTCTTTGTTATGAATTCTTTTTACTATTTTAATTTGTTAGAGTCATATATGTTTGACTAATTTTTTTTTCTAGTTGGGATCACGGACCCGATGTGAATCATTTATAGTTCTTAAATTATTTTTATAATTTAATTAGTTTAGTTAGTTTTATTCTACCTGAGTTAATTTTTCCATATCCTTGATAGAATTGATCGCTCTATTATAGGGTTTTGAGGGTTAGGGCTCACAATAGACATATTGGGGTTTTAGTCTGGACAAGGGTAGAATAGCAATTTGTGCATGACCTAGACATAGGCTTACATAGATTGCAGACTTTTAATTCATTTGCTTACTGCTTAATTCAAGAGGAATTACTAGGACACTAGGATTCTAATTGGGTTAAAGGGTTGAAATCACTTAGACATTAGGGTTCAACTATTTTATAGGAAAATAATGAATTGGCTGAGCTAATAACCTAGTTAATTATTAAATACAATATAGGAATATAAGGGAGGATCGGAGGTGAAGAGCATTCTGGCTACAGTCTTTTTACAATTTTTACTCAATCTCATAATTTCTTGTCATTCTTGATATTCTTGCATGCGTTTGAATTTAATTGCTTTTAAAATTCTGTTTTTAAAATTACGACAATCAATCAAATTCA